CATAATTGCTCTTCAGTACTCTGGAGAGGTCTCTAACAGCAGACTTTCCCAATACAATTAATCTTTTTATTTCCTGGCTGCTAGAGCCAAGCAAGCTGAAGCTGTTAACAGTTTGAATCCCTTTGCTGTCATGATGCTCCCAATTAGCCCAGCGGTGAGAGTTTTTGTTTTCTGAATTTTGAGCTTCAATCCATATTGAAGGCTGTATTCCTTGACCTTCTGCAGCAAATACTTTGGGTCCTATTCGGTTTCAGCAAGGAGATTGTGTCATTTGAATAGCACAGGTTGTTGAGAAGTCTTCAATCCTCATGCCACATTCAGGTCCACCTTATAAAGTCCAGCCTCCCAAATGATTCACTCCGCATACAGATTGAAAAGGTATGGAGAGAGGATGTACAAGAAGTAGAAAAGTATAGTTTTCAGTCACTAACTACTATTAATGCTTAATAATAATTATTAACTATTAGCATCAACTCTCTTCAGCATGTTTGATCAATTTCAGACTGCAAAAGTTGGTAGAAATCCTCAGTTTCTTTATCTTTGGCTTCAGATATTGGTACATATATTTGACTAATAACTGTATTAACAGGTCTTCCTTGTATGGATATGGATAGTATCCTATCATTCACAGCCTTATACTTCAAGATAGATCTTGAAATACAATTTTTTACTTTGAATGAGAGAACATTCTTCTTTGAATTGTTAGCATAGTAGCTCATATGATTTTCTGATTTAAAATGGCCAACACCAGTCCATCTCAACTTATTCATGCCTTGGGCAGTGAGCTTTACACGGTCCATTTCCTCTTTTATAAAACAATTATAACTTCTAATTTTCCTAGATTAATATTTCATACATTCAACTCTCGATTAATGGATAATTGCAGCTGTTTCTCCTTCTTTTGAACCTTTCTACATCAGCAGATCAAAGTCCTTCGTTGAGTGAAAACTACTTCGCCTTGTGTCGTTGTGGTAGATACTTCTTTGGAGAGGCAGCTCTTCTCTGATCACATTTTGAGTGCTTTCCAATATGATATCCAACACTGTTCTTCAGTTATTCATAGGATATTTGGAGACAAAGATAATTAAAACAATTTCACAAAAACCAAAATGCAACCTTGAGTCTATCTAAACTGAGTTTAAAAACAATTGCAAAAACAGGTTTGATACATTGAATGCTAATAACCAAAGATGAGACCAGCTGTAGGATGATATTAAGGGCATGATCTATAAAGATAACAGAAAATCTTTGCAAAGGCAAAAGAAAGAAAATCCAAAGTGGATAGCAGAAGACACTCTGAAACTTGCACTGGAATGAAAAGAAGCCAAAAGGAAGGACAGAAATATTGAAGCAAGAGAGCTGAACAGGCGATTTGAAAGGGCAACTCCAGAAGACAGAGCAAAGTGTTATAACAAATATTCAAGGAGATGAAGTTAGAAAAACAAGAGAAGAGCACACTCAGCATTTTTAATCTGAAAGAATGGGAGAACAAATTTAAGCTTTATTGTTCAAGCCAAGAACAATACTAAAAGATTATAACGGTGAAATGTTGAATGATAGAGGAAACATCAGAAGAAGTTAGAAAGAATACAGAGAGTCACACAAAAAGAGCTGATGGACATTGGACCATTAAAGGAAGTAGCATATGATTACTGTTAAGGAAGAAGTGTAAGCTATACTGATAGCATTGGCAAAAAATAGAATACCAATTGAAGTATTTCAGGAAACAGATGCAGTCCCTGGATGTGCTCACTGGTTTATGCCAAGACATTTGGAAGACAACTACCTCATTAGCTGACTGAAAGAAATCTATGTTTGTTCTTATTCCCAAAGAAAGGTGATCGATCTACCAGAGCATGGAAATCATTGAACAATGTCTTTAATATCAGATGGCAAGTAAAATCTTCCTGAAGATTTTCCCAAAATGACTGGGAAAGTACATCAATAGGAAACTTCCAGAAATTTAAACCATAGTCACAAGAGTCCATGAAATGAGGTATACCGTTGTTGATTTCAAGTGGATCTTAGCTGAAAGCAGAGAATACCAGAAAGTTGTTTACTTGTGTGTTATTGATTATGCAAAACCAATGACTTTGTGGACCATAAATTATAGATAACATTTAGGAGAATGAGAATCCCAGAACACTTTGCTCATGCAAAACATCTGCATAGATGAAGAAGCTATTATTCAAACAGAGCAAGGGAACACTGCTTGGTTTAAAATCAGGAAAAGTATGTGTTGGGGTTGTATTGTTTCTCTATACCTATTTAATCTATGTGCTTAGCAGATAATTTAAGAACTAAATTATATGAAGAAGAATGAGGTGTCAGGATTGGAAGAAGAGCATTAACAACTTGCTTTATGCAGATGACACAACTTTGCTGGCTATGGTTATCTTAGCCCATAGAATGTTTCTTTGCTTTTGAAAGTTGGACAATGAGTAAGAATCACCAAATAAGAATCAATGACTTTGAATTGTGATATGTTGATAAAAAGTATTGAATATCTGTTTCATGGACTGCCAAAAGAACAAACAAATGCGTTTGAAGAACATGCAACCAGAGTACTTTTTAGAGGCAATGATCGTGAAGCATCACCCCGTGTACTTTGGCCTGTTGTCAGAAGGTGCAAGTCCTTGGAAAAAGGCATCATACAGGAAAAGATAAGAGAATCTGAGAAAGAGAGGAAGACCACCCATGGCGTGGGTTGCCACAGTGACTCCAACAATGGGCTTGAGCATGAAGGAGATCATGAGTATGGCCCACAGTAAAGCCAGATTCTAATCTGTCATTCATTGCATCTCCATTAGCCTACCAGACAGAATTGCACTTCACAACTTTATTTCATTCAGAAATTCTGTACTCCTGGGGTTGTTTTTGTTTTTTGGTTTTTGTTTTTTTTTCAAATTTAGTTAAGTTTAAAAATCATCCAAGTAACTTTTTAAAAATACAGGTTTCATTTTTGATAAGTACATTTGGAGTAGAATCCCAGATATATATGAAGATGACAGGAGTGATTTTTTTTTAACTTTATTACTTTTGTGTGTATGTACCATTGCATCAGATCTGACTGGTACAGGAGGATACTGTACCTCCTTCTCCAGCAGAGCATCTGGTGTATTTGAACTGCTTACCTGTGCGATTGCAGTGCAACTTTTTGCCACAACAGGAGTGAGTTTTATGATTAGTCTAAACAACATTCTGTTCCAGCATTTCCCAAACTACAAAATTCATATAAATCACTTGGAGGTACCTGTTAAAGTACAGATCCTGGCTCATGAGATCTTGGGAAGGATCTGAGATTTTCCATAACTAATGAATTCCCTTGTGGCATAATGAGGCTTCCTTCACAGGGAACTCTGGGGGCATTCCCTGGTGAATTGCTTTCCTAACCCAAAGGCGTCACTTCTCTGGCAGTTTGGATCCACCAGCTGCTCCAAGGAAGAAAGATGAGCAGTTTCCTCCCATTAAAATATACAGCCTGAGAAACCTGATGGAGAGTCACTGTGAGTTCCAGTCAACTCGAGGGCAGTGAGTTTTGAGTTTTTCAAGTTTTAATCCCCACTAATAAGGAGGATCGCACTAGGTTGAGGAGTCCTTAGATGGTACAAAGGGTGATCTATTAACATGGTTTGTTGCTGACTTTAAGTTTGGCAGTTTCAACCCATCCAGCAGCACCTCGGAAGAAAAACCTGGTAACTTGTTATTATGTGCCATCGCATTGACTCAGCGACCCTATGAACAACAGATTGGAACTTTGCCCTGTCTGTCCTGCACCACACTCGCAATCTCTGACATGCTAGAGCCCATTGTTAAGAGTCACTGTGTCACTCCATCTAGTTGAGCGTCTTCCCTTTTTTTCCTTACCCTTTATTTTTCCCAGCATGGTGTCTTTTGCCAAGAACTAGCCCCTTCTGACAGCATGTCCCAAATAAACAAGATGAAGACATCCTTGTCTCTGAAGAGCACCCTGGCTGCACTTCCTCAGATTTGTTTGTTCTTTTGATAGTCTTTAGGATGGTCAGTATTCTTCACCAGCATTCAATTTAGTGGCATCATTGATTCCTCTTTGGTGATTCTGACTCAGTGTACAACTTTCAGGTGCTAGACAACAGCTGAAAATGCTGTGGTTTAGATCAGGTGTATGTTAGTCTTTAAACTGAAAACCGTAGCACTTTGAAAAGGTCCTTAACAGCAGATTCCCCTCCTGAAACATGTCTTTTGATTTCTTGACTGCTGCTGCTGTAGATGTTGATTGTGGATCTAAGTAAAATGGAAGCATTGACAACTTCAGTTTTGTTTTCTTGATGTGGAGATGTAATCCATGTATAAGGCTATAGTCTTTGATCGTCTGCAGTAAGTGCTTCAAGTCTCCTTTACTTTCTGGAGTTTGTGGTGTGCCATCTACAACCACATCTGTCAAAGCAGTTTTTTCGATCGTTATGGGTTTTACTCTCTAACACGGATGAGATTGCCTTAAGTCAAAAGTTGATTCAATGGCACTAGACCACACTGTAATACTTGATTTGTGATTTGAGGGGGTTTTTAATCACAATAATGTGATGGTCATGGTTCACATTTCTGTAAGGGATAAGTAAAGCATCCTCCTTACCTTTGAATTTTTGCTAGAATAAGTGTTTTTCCTTCTAATGTAAAAGTAGCAAAGTGTGAAATAACTTTGATTAGCAGGTTTTATTAATTGACCTTAGAAATAGGAGAACCATGGTAAAGTCCTTTATGGGGGTGATTTTTGCCTGTTTTCTTCATCTAATTATGTATCTATTGGGTTTGAAAATTGGAGAAAAAGTTCCTATAAGAAACTCAGCCTTGGAGCATCTATTTACCACAAGAAAGCAAATCAGTCTTGCCTGCCAGAAAGCAGATGTATTACTTTCATCATTTAATTGTAGTGTTTATGTAACTGAAAGGATAGCTCAGTAAATAGACATTCAAAATGTACAGTGTACACATTTTCACCATGAAATATCTACCCTTTTCAGGTTCCCCAGCTCCACCATTGCCATCTGTTATGTCTCCTAGCAGGGTTGCAGCTAGTCAACTGGCTCAACAAGGAAGTGATTTAAGTGTTCCCGCAGGTATTCACTGCACTGACTGAATCAAGCCCTTCTCACTAATGCTGAAGCCAGACTAATTCACTTCACTCTATTTCATAATCACATGCTTTATATTCTTAAATGTGTTATTTTGACTTTTTTTGGTGGCTGCTGCTTTTTGTATTTAAAAAAGAAAATGATCCCCTTGTAGCTTATTTTTCTATCTTTTCTAAGACAAACCTGAAAATTTAATTCAAAAGTTGTACATATTTATTTTAAAACATTTTTTTTTCTTTGCTCTGGAAGTTCGTTCTCTTTCTTTGTTAGTAACCCCCCCAGCTTTGCAGCTCTGCAGCTCTGCCCTGTGTTTGCTGTTAAACAAAAAAGAGCTCTTCTGACAATCGAGCTCTTTATTATTGGGAGTTGAACAGAAGGATTTATATCTGTCTCCTGGTTTTCCACCTCAGTTTACAAAGTTTATAGATTGGAACAAAATACTTAATGTCATTTACCAGTTTCACCCATTGAAAAATACTTGGGAGTAGTAACTTCTTGTACGTTGAAATTGTGTTACACTTTAACATGGCTATACTATGAAAATGGGAAAAATAGAACTCCATATTTATTTGTATAGTATGTTATTGTTTTATATTTCATTGTTCTAAGAATTTTGTGAATTCTTTAATGTGTTTTATTCGAAGCACTGTTATTGATCTTAGACTGTAGTAAGCTATGGTAAAAGTTAATCTGACTACAGAAATTTTTGCAAAGCCTGCTTTTTAAAAATCAATTTTCCTTATTTCTCTTTTTTGTTGTTATTAAATGATACGAAGTTTTTTATCCCAAATAACTAGTGGAAAAAACATTTATTTAGCATGTTTCACTTTTAAGAACTTTTACTACTTAGAACTAAATAGTTGGAGACTTGCTCTTATGTCATAATTTTTTAATTGTGTTGGACCAATGCCTTGCTTCAGCTTTAGAACTGCCTTTATTAAATGTGACCTTTTTGTCTTTTGGAGGAAAGATACAGTTTCTAGATATTGTTTCAATCTAGTCTTTTATGCTGCTGGTAAGATATCTTTAATAACTTCTTGACATTTGACTTAATTTTCTAATCTTTCAGAATTAGAACTGTGTTCTGATTTTGCTGTGCTCTTCATAGTGAAATTAAATCACTGTGGGAAATTCGTAGTCTTTCATACTGTTTTTGATACTTTGTGGTCATTAGATTATAACATTAGTTGTAGAATTTTATTTTTTTTTTAAGCTTGCACAGCAAAAAAGACTGACTGCAGCATAATTTTAATTTTTTTATTAAAAGATAGCCAAACTATATAGCATTTGTTTTTAGTGAACAGAAATTCTTTTTAAGTGAATCGGAAGTTATTTTCAAAGATGTCAGAGAATTCTGGCTCTTTGCCTTATGAGAACCTTTTTATCTTATACGTTGTTTCATTTGAGCAGCATTAGTTTTTTGTTTGCTTTTACTACTTCCCTTTATCTGGTTTGTGTTGTATTGTTATAATCATACAGGTGGACAGAGAGCACAGACAAAAAGTGGACCAGTTATTCTAGCCGATGAAATTAAAAATCCTGCAATGGAGAAATTAGAACTTGTTAGAAAGTGGAGTCTAAACACATACAAGGTTTGTAATTTTTTAATATTTCTACCCTAAATGACTTTAGACATTTTTATGTGCATGTTATACAACTTAAATGAACATTTTGGGGAAAATAATGCTGCTCCACGGGAGAAGGATGGGCACTCTCCTCCCGTGAGATTAAGCACCTCTGAAGCCCCACTGCAGGGTCAGCTATGTGCCGGTCCTGACTCTGTGGTACACAACACACACAATCAATACCACCGAACTACTTTTTCTTTTCCCCTCCCAATTTCATAGGCTGCTAAAATGCTTATTAAAATATTATTTTGAAATAGAGTTAGGTATTGAATAGCTGTACATAAAATATTTATATCTTGGACTCAATTTTCTGCTCAGCCTAAAGTAATTTACTCCTGTTTAAAATTCTTCATGAATCACAAATTTATTTATTTTTTATTATTATTAAATTTTATTAGTTTTAATGAACATTTACAGAGATTTGGGGTTTTCATTCATTCATTGTTGCACTGTTTTCTCCACCCTCCTCCCCAGTTTGTTCTTCTTCCCCCCCACCATGTCTGTTTTAATTGTCCAATTGCCACAGTGCTTGTCAAAGCCAGTTCTGATTAATCTCCTTTGTCAGTGTGTCCCTTGCCATTCCCTATCACTCCTCCCTGAGAGAGACTTCACCCTGATTCATAAGGAAAAGGGGATGGTGTATTTTCTTAGCTACTTCCTGCTGAAAAGGGACGCTGTGGGTTTCAGGGTGAAGGTCTTCTCTCACTACTCTAAAGGGCCCCTTTGGCAGTAGGAAACACATAAGACTATTATGGAGATTGATTTTGGAATTTAGATGCACTGTTATCAATTGTGCTTAGCCGTACATGTTCATATCCTTGAAGATGTATCATGGAAGTGTTGCAGCCTAGAAGATACAAATTTAACTAACAAGTTAAAAGTGCATGAGTCAAAAATTGAAAAGCAATAATATTCTGAGTAGAGGTTCTAATAGTGGCACAAATCAAGTTACAGAGGTAAGGTGGTTCCATTGCCATCCTTACTCTAGTTTAATTCTTTTTTTTTAATTTAAATTTGTTATTAATTTCAGTGAAAATTTATAGAGGCTTTGGATTTCCATTCATTGTTGTAGATCATGAATCACAAATTTTTTCGTGCACAGTTACATGAATCTACCCATACCTGCTGTTGCTGCTTCATCTACTACTACTTTTTTCCACTTATGTATCCTATGTTCCATACCAAATTATTCAAGATTTCTTAGACAAGCTCTGCTTTTTCATACCTCTGTACATTTTTGTATGAGGGTACTTTGACATTTCTCTTCCTGCTACCTTTATATAATCTTATCTTCTATACCAGCTTCAGTCATTTATTTTCTAAGCCATTCCTTTGTTCATTTATTCGTGAAATTTGTTTCTTACTATTGTTTCCATGCTCTTGTATGTCCATATATTCTTTGTTCATCGATACCTTCAAGTTGTGGTACTTGAACATACCATGTACTGCCAAGAAAACAAATAGATCTGTCTTGGAGAGGGTGAAACCAAGTTTCTCCTTGGAGTTTAGGAGTTTGCAGCTCCATCTCACATACTTTGGGCTCATGACCAGGAGGGACCGGTCCTTGGAGAAAGACATCATGCTCCAAAGGGTGGACGGACAGCACAGGAGAGGAAGACCCCAGATAAGATGGATTGATACAGTAACTGGAACAAGAGGAGTTGGTGTGTCAGAATTAGTGAGACTGGCTCAGGACAGGGCAGGGTTCAGAGCTGTTGTACATAGTATTGCTATGGGTCACAGGTGACTCGACGGTACATAACAACAATAACATATATTTTGAACCTAAATTCTACAGATTTTTCTGAACAAGATCTTAATAATTGCATATTGGTGTTTTTGTTTGTTTTAATTTCAAGTTTACTTTTGCACAGAGGTCATGCTCATCTTCTCTGGATTGTTTTGATTTTAGTTACATGCTGCTTTAGTGAGCACACAAATTTTTTGTTCATGTGACCCTTCCACTATTGTATTGCTTAGTGTTTTCCTTGTTCCTTATGTACTTTTTACTAAATTAATTATTAGGTACCATTGAGTCAGCTGTGACTCCCAGCCACCCTACATACAACAGAACATCCTTACAATCTCTGCCATTTATGCCCATTGTTTGAGGTACTGTGTCAGTTTGTTTCTTCCTCTTCTCTGATTCACTAATTCTTTTTTTTTATTTTATTAATTTTAATGAACATTTACAGAGATTTTTGGATTTCCATTCATATATCGTTACACTTTTCTCCCTGCCCACCCCTCCCCTCTAGTTCGCTCTTCTCTTTGAAAGTAAATGAAAAATTCCTTCATTGACCCACTAATTCTCAAGCATGATATCCTTATTCAGGGACAGGTCCTTCCTTATAACATGTGTATGAGGTGAAGTTTCACCATCCTTGCTTCTAAGGAACACTGAGACTGCTTCTCTTCCAAGACAGATTTGTTTATTCTTTTAATAGTACATTCTTCCTCAGCACCACAATTCATAGGTATCAACTGTTCTTTAGACCTCCTTATTCACTGTGCAACTTTCACGTGCATATGAGTTGATTAAAAATGCATGACTTGGTTTGGTGCATCTTAGATGTCAAAGTGTCATCTTGCTCTAGCATTTTGAAGAAGTCTTTTACCAGTGCACTGCATCATTCATGTTCTTAACTGCTGTTCTTTTGCTATTGATTATGTATCCTAGTAAATGGATGTCCTTGACAACTTCAGTCATTTCTGTGTTTGTGCTGATGATGCTTGTCCAATTGTGAGAATTTTTCTTTCTTTATGTTGAGATGAAATCCATACTTAAGGCCAATAGGCCTTGAGATTCTTTAATAAGTCCTTCGAGTTTCCTTGTTTTCGGCAAATAAAGTTCTATCATCTCCATATTGTAAGTTATTGATAAGTCTTCCTCCATCCTGATACCATATTCTTTGTCGTATAATCCAGCTTCTCAAATGATTTGCTCAGCATACAGATTGACTTTTGTTCTTTATTGCCATAGAGTCGAGTATGACTCATAGCAATCCTATCAACAAAAGGCCTGAAGACCCTCTACAACTATCGACATTTATCAAAGTTCATAGAGTCTCCAGAGGCATGTTATTTAGGAAATTAATGCCACTCCTGATTCTGAATTGACTAGATGTGAAAAGGATATAACCCTGACTGATGCTTCCTCATTTTAAACCATGCAGTAGTCCCTTACTCTATTTGAACAACTACTTCTTGGTCTATGTAAAGTTACACATGAATACACACAAATTAAATGTTCCAGAATTATCATTTTTATTCCTATTATATATGTTATGATTTCCCTATTCCTTATACTTCTTTCCCTTTATAATAGAGTTAAATCACTTGTAACACAGAAATGACCAGTTTTTATTTTTTTAATTGAGATTTTAATGAAAGTTTATAAAGAACTTGGGTTTCCAATCTTTCATTGTTGCACATTTTCCTCGCTGTCCCCCTTTTCCCCCGAGATCGCTTTTTTCCTTTGGGGAAAAAGTTCTTTTATTGTTATACCACCGTCTGTTCCCCTCGCTCCAGATCACTTTACTTTTCTTATTTTGGATTCATGCCATGCCAATAATACCTAATCATATATTCCTTTATACTGTTCTCTCCCTCTTCTGTTTCAATGCCTTGTACACCCCTCCCCAACCCCATGCCAGTCCTGTTTTATAACAGTTGTGTTATGCCATATTTGTCTTTTTGTGACTGAGAAATTTCACTCAGCATAATGTCCTTCAGGCTCACCCATTTTGTATAATATTTTATGAATTCTTTGTTTTTCAGTGCTACATAATATTCCATTCTATGAATATACCACGGTTTCTCTATCTATTCGTTTGTTGATGGGCACTTGGGTTGCTTCCAGCTCTTTGCTTTTGTAAACACAGCCACAGTAGACAAAGCCACAGTAAACATGAGTGAGCATATATCTGCTTGGGTGGCAGATCTGGTTTCTTTAGGGTATATTCCCAG